TTTACATTAAATTTTTTATAAATTAAATTTAATTAGTTTTGCTATTTAATTATGTAATTATTTAATCATGCCATTTTGTATTTTAAGTTTGGTTTCTTTTGCACCACTCATGTTTCCATTGGTGTTGGGAAGGTGTTGATGGCTCTCCCTTCTATTTGAGACACATACCCTTGGAGAATGAACAATGTACATTCAAAATTTGGTACAACATCGTATTCTAATATAATAGTTAGATAATTGATTTGTGAAGATTAAGAAAATTAGTTAAAAGTTTTTTGTAACAAATATGTGTTAGTTTTCGTAGAATACATTTCTTAATCATTTGCATTGGAACTACTTCTTGATGGAAACCTCCTTAGTATGTGTAAAAATACCTAGACAAAGGAATTTTAAATTTGGGAGATAAAGGGCTTGTTTGGTTTTTTTTTTAAAACAATTTTTTATTTTTAAAAGCAGAAAAAAACAAAAAAACTTGTTTGGCTATTTATTTTTAGTTGATTATTTTAAAAAACTAAAAAAACAATAATATATTTTAAAAACTGAAAAACCAAAACAACTTTTACATGTTTTCTTGTTTTGTTTTTGTGTTTTTATTTTTTTTGTTTTAAAAAATTAGAAAAATCTTCTTCTCTTGTTCTCTATTACCTACTACTTATCACAATCGGTGATAACTATCACTTATCAAAATGTAATTTTTTATATATTTTTTCAAATATGATTTTTTAAAAATTATTTTCCGAAATAAGTTTTTTTTCCAAAATTTTTTCTTAAAAAAAATTTTATAAAATTATTTTGAGAATAAAAAAACAAAAACAAACAGGTCCAAAGTAACTTGAAATGTTTTTTTGGGGGGGGGGGATAAAACACTCGTCTAATTCTTTTATTTAGGAAGCTTGTGCGGGTGGAGTTATGGCGGCTATGATAGGAGTAAGCACTCTCATATTTATCGCTATGACAAAAATTTATTCAAGTATAACTTAAATGGTTCAGTTTTAAAATCTTTAAATCGTTTTTGACAAAATGATGGTTAAAATAACTATCTTCATTTTTAATTCCAATATACATGGTTATATAGGATAATTTAGGGAGGTTAACAGATATTTATTATAAATAACCAATTTAATTTATTTTTATAATCTCTCTAAATTAGTTATCTAGATCTTATATTAGGGATCATTAGAGGTAATATTAAATTATCAATTACTCTAATAAGTATTTCACTAGGAATGTTAAAAATAAAGATATTTTTTTGAATAAATTTTTGTAGAATGGAAAGAGAAGGATTGTGATGGCAAAAAAAAAAAAAACAACAACGGAGAGAAGGGTTGGAAATAATTTTAAAATTAAAAGACTAAATTATCTCTCACTTTTGAGTTAGAAAAAGAATTAGGTATTTTTACTTTTTGTTTTTGATGCCACGTTGTACAGCAACCTTGTCTTTGAACGGAGAAATGTAAAATAATTGAGGGAGAAAAAGAGTGATCCATTAGCTTATAGACGCCACCCCAGGTCAAAATTTCTGAACTTGGTTTCGCAGATTTAATAATCTGCGAAAAAGTTCATCTGCGAAACCAAGTTCAGTGTCACCATCAGTGTCACTGTTGAATCCGCAAAAAAGTTCATTTGCGAAACCAAGTTCAGTGTCACCATCAGTGTCACCGTTAGTAGTTCAGTGTCATTGTTGAGTCCGCGAAAAAGTTCATTTGCGGAACCAAGTTCAGTGTCACCATCAGTGTCACCGTCAGTAGTTCAGTGTCACTGTTGAGTCCGCGAAAAAGTTCATTTGCGAATAGTTCAGTGTCACTGTTGAGTCCGCGAAAAAGTTCATTTGCGAAACCAAGTTCAGTGTCACCATCAGTGTCACTGTCGGTGACACTGATGGTGACACTGAACTACTGACGGTGACACTGATGGTGACACTGAACTTGGTTTCGCAAATGAACTTTTTCGTGGACTCAACAGTGACACTGATGGTGACACTGAACTTAGTTTCGCAGATGAACTTTTTCGCAGACTTTTGAATCTGCGAAACCAAGTTCAGAAATTTTGACCTGGGGTGGCGTCTATAAGCTAATGGATCACTCTTTTTTCTCCCTCAATTATTTCACACTCTTCTCAATGTGGGACCTCTTGGCTTTATTGAAATCAAGCAGCCTCCTCATCTGCATGCAGCAAACCAAAACCCACGCCCTTTTTCTTTCTATATAAACTGCCACCGATCACTCCTATCTTCTCACTTCATCAATACACAAAACAAACAAAGGAAAAAAAAACTGTACGTCAGAGTCCCGGAGAAAGGCAGATAGGTAGTTAAGTTGCAGGAGTATTGGCGATGAAGAAGAAGATGGGCGCGATCAGTCTGATGGTGATGGTGGCGCTGATCCTTGCCGCGGCGGAGCTGCCCCACATGGCTGAGGCGGTGACTAGCAGTCCGGCAGCTCGGAGTCCCTGCATCGGAGCAATAACGTCTTCCTCTCCGCCGTCGAGCCAGTGCTGCCAGAAGCTGAAGGAGCAGAAGCGATGTCTGTGTGGGTACCTCAAGAACCCTAGTCTGAGGCAGTATGTTAACTCTTCTGGGGCCAAGAAGGTTGCTTCTACCTCAAGAAGGTTTGTTTGCTTTCTCTCTCTCAGTTATGTGCTTCTTCACCATCAACACTGTTTTTCTCAAAGCACAGTTTGCTGTTTTTTGCAGTTCAGAGCCCTGGCATGGTACCTTTGTATTCTTAATCACAGCGATAGGCATGGTGGTTCAAATGCACTTTCACCGCTCATCCCCCGTCAACGAGCACTCCGCAGAGATGTGGATCTTCATAGGATGCTTGTTCCTTTTTGCCTTTTCATCTGCCTACTACAAGTCTCACTCCTCCAACTCAAATGATAATTCCCCATATCTCGAACTCTCATCCCATATAGCTGTAATCTCAGGAGGCATGGCTTGTGCTGTCCTAATATCTGTGTTGGTTTCTAAACCTGTTATACCGCTCATCATCATTATATACCTCATGTGCCTCCTCATATATTTTGCCCCAAACGTAGTCACTAAAATATGCAAGAAGATAGGTTCATATGTGTATGACATTTGGAAAGGAATTAAGCATAACCATGACCGAGGAGACAACATACAAGTTTAGACCGACAGGTTTAGAGGCATCTCAGACTGGTAAGTTATAATGTTATTGTACTTGGGGATCATCATCTAGAATTAGGTTTCTTCCATATATACGAAAAGAGAATTGTAGCTGTACGCGAGTCTATTTATATGGAAAAGGCTTTCCTGATTGTACTTGGGGATGCTTGTATTTAGAACACCTGAGATCTTACTCCTCTTTACTTGCTTTCTATTGGATATATAATTTAGGGATGATTTCATATATGAACTGAGTCATTTACTTAGCTAACAAAATATATGAGGAGGTATGTAATTGTGTTTTCAAATGAATTGAAGTAAATTCCAGATTGGTGATTAATATGGATCATACTTCAGTATATTTGATATACTGGTTATTATTTTTGTTTGTTGTTCTTTCTTTGGGGGCTTTTTTTGTGAGCTGTGAGATCGGTTGTATCTTAGGATTTTACCAGAGTTTTTCTTTTCTTTTCTTTTCTTTTTCTGGCTTCTTGGTGTTTGTCTCCAATTTTCTTTTATAATTAATAAAAGTTGACTTCTTTTTTACCCAAAAAATAATTCTAATATACAATTAGTTGGCGATGCTGAAGTTTGCGAATATCTAAGTGAGGTGAAGGCATTTTTTTTAATTAATATTCAATTAAAGAAACAGCAAACTTGTATCCAATTAGTATCCCCCACCCACACGCAATTGACTAATTTTACGAGTTAAAGATAAAGCATTGGCTGTGTTGGGGGCAAAAAAAAAAAAACTAGATGAGGCCGCGTCTTAGAAGTCCTAATCAAGCAATAACGACAACCAATCCTTTGTTCTCTTCCAGCGAGAAGTGGCCGAAAAGGTCTAGTAAAACTTTGAGCTTGTTTAGTTTCTTCTTTTAAAAATAATTTTTTATTTTCAAAAAAAAAAACAGTAATATATTTTAAAAAACTGAAAAACTAAAACAACTTTTACATGTTTTTTTGTTTTTGTAAAATTTGAAAAATTTTCTTTTCTTCTCCTCTACTACCTACTACTTATCACTACCGATGATAACTACCACTTGTCAAGGTATAATTTCTTATTTTTTTAAATGTGATTTTTAAAAATTTATTTTCCAAACAAAGTTTTTTGTTTTTTTTTTTCCAAAAGTTGTTCTTAAAAACAATTTTATAAAATTGTTTTAAGAATAAGAAAACAAAGAACAAAAACGAACAGCTCCTTTGTCTCTCATAGTGTTGGGGCAAAAGGGAAATGTAAGAGAATTAGTTGTGTATGGATTATCCCATTGTCGTATATTCACATGAGAAACGCTAACATTTTGATGAGATAGTTATTAATTTATCGCATTAAACCTGTTAGCTATCGTCAATTAATTTGTTTTCTTTATGAGAAGCCATTATAATTTTGTAACATTAAAGTACGGGTTTTTTTTTGCGCCATAAAGATTAAAGTACAAGTTTAAAGTAACTAAAATTGTAATCAAATCCACTTACACTAAAATTGTACATAACACGTGATATTATGATCAAAACTAAATTTTGTTGATGATTGAATATATAAATGCATGAGCAAACTTTTTATAGTGAGAATCAAAACATTCATCTACTGGTATATAAACTAGACAGAGGACATTACTCATTAATTAAAATCGTGCTTTAATTTAATTTTTCTCAAATGTTAGACGAATTAATATGCCGAAATTTGATCTTGATGATTCAAATTCAGGTATTAAACAAAAGGGCACCAAAAATTAATCTGACTATAATATTTGACATTTTATTTACATGTTATGTGGATCTCGGACTCATCAAGAAGAGACCTTGAGGAAGAAAGAGAGAGAAAAAGTGAGAGAACAATTTTTTTTCCTTTTTCTTAATAAAAATAACACTATTTCTATTCTTAATATAAAAATTAGTTTAACTTATAATTTGATTCTAAATATAATATCCCAATCTACTTTATCTCTCGTATATATCGATTTTTTTCAAAATAATCATTGTAGTAATTGTACATGTTAAAAATTCTATCAAATAGTAATTATAACTAATATATATGATTAGTAAGGGTATTATAAAAAAAACAACACTTAATTATTATAAATAATTAACTTAGCAAACTATATTAATCTAACTAACTAAGACAAGGGAAATAATAAATTATGAGGGTATCGGATTCAGATGCGAGTCCCGTCGTCATAAATAGGAAGTTCGCCTTTCAAGAGGGACTAGTATCAGATGCAATAGTACAGATGGTCAGAGGAGATATACAAACGCGGCCTTTCAAGATAAAAGTTGGCTGTGGGTGGATTTGTGCCACCAATTAATAGTTAAAGATGGTCAAGGAAAAATGAGCTGTATCATTGACCACAGATTAGGTGTCTCACAATTAAAAGATTTGAAATTACATGTAAAGAGTGGTTTATATATACACACACATACACACGTATTATGGAGTCAATTGGAGCATTAACAAAGTTTTCAGCCAAAATATTCAAAGCCATTTTTATATTCACACATGCTTTAATCTTTTTTTATTTAAAAAAAATATCTTTTATCTCGACATAAATTAAAACTCAATTCTAACTTTTAATAAAGACATCTCTTCTACGCGCTCATTCAAACATAAAACTTTATTCTTAAATAGTCATTGATCTTTTCCTTAGTGTTCTGTTTGAATGGAAAGAAAAATTAGGAGGAAAGAAAATGGAAGATGAAATTTAAGAAATAATGTTATCACCCTACCTATTTTGATGAAGGAGTAAAAGAAAATGGGCAAATGTCATGACGATGACAACAATATCCTTATAACTAGATCTATTATATTTCATGTGATTTATAACAAAACTATACAAAAATAAATATTATCCATCAAGTAAAAATATTTGCAGATGATATATTTTCATATTTGTATATTTTAAAATCAAATAATTTTTTATGTTTAAAAACACATTTTGAGGATCAAATAATAAATTGAAAGAAAACAAACTCAAAGATGTGTGTTTAAAATATAGTTTTTATATTTGTATAAGTTTAAAAATAAATTGAAAGAAATGACTTTTCCCATATTTGTGAAGGTCACTAAATAAAATTGGTTGGAAGGAGAAAACGACATGAATAAAGAAGCTTGGTGAAAGAATATTTTTTGCCAACATCTTTTCATATTTATAAAGAAAAGTTGAGAGAAAATGTGGTGGGTTTCACCCACAGTTCCCCTCTTCTTTTTCCTTACTCTGACTTTTATTCCCTTCTCTCAACAAGAGAAAACTCCATAATCCTCCCATATTTTGATTTTCTTCTTATGCTTCCTTTCCTCTCAACTTTTTCTCCAATCCAAACATGAGGTAATCCATTTGTTTCAATTTTGAAAAAAAATAGTAAGTCATTTTCAGATGTTTTAGAAATTTATAAAAGGTAATTTATTGTGCCGTGATTTTATAAAAAGCAGAAATTATTGTGTTCGATTACGATTATAAAAAACCATTTATTAGTAATTTTAAGATATTAGGTATGATATTCTTGGGGATTTTTGTTCATAAAAAATTTATTATTAATTATTTTTATATTTTATGATATCTTTGTGTATCTCCACATATATTGTTATAAGGTTCTCTTATAATTTGTTCTTCTTTCAAATTTCGATTATTTTTAAAAGCCTAACAAATATGATAAAAATGCATAAGTATCAAATTAAAATTTTTAAAAAGTATAAGTACCTCCAAATTTTTTTTTTATAATATGCTTACAGGTCCATTATTCCATTGACCATAGAAGATGGAGTCGCAGGGAGCGTGGCTTGTGTTGCATTAACATCAGCGTTGCTCTCTAAACATGTTTTAGCGCTCACCCTCTTTGTCTATTTCGTGTGCCTGCTCATGTACTTTTCCCCCAATGCAGTAACCGAAATCTGTAAGCAGGTGGATTCATAAGTGTACGATGTGTGCAAGGGAAACTGAGCATTATACGATGACTACACTGCAAACACCGTGGAATTGGACATAAGGAAGAGGGGGGGGGGGGAACCACGAAGCAAGCTTGGGCATAGAAAAAAAATAGTACTCATCCACTCATTAATATAAGACCTAATTATTGAGTTGATTTTGATTTTAAATATAAGATCTATTTTTTATATTTATCATTTTTTCTAAATTACACTTATGGATACGTTCTCAACCATAATCAAGTATAAGAGGGAGAGGGGATATTAAAAAAGATGATTATGACGTTTTAGAAAAAATATGTCATATTTTTTATAATTAACTAACTTACCTAACTTCCTTAATCTAATCAAATTAGTTAATAGGTCTTATATTAAAGATTAGAAGAGTACTATCTCATATCCTAATCTAAGATCTTGTTTGTAGACTATAAAAAAAATCTTATAATTAGGACTGGATTAAGATATTTTTAGTAAAATCCAGTATTTTAAAATAATTTTTGATACACTTAACACCTTAATATATTTTTTTAAGTAGAACCCAATGTTTTAAAATAATTTTTGGTGTACTCAGTACTTGAAAATATTTTTTTCAGTGGCAACTAATATCTTAAAGTAATTAATTTTTAGCTTAAAATGTGTTGGGAGGAGCACTTAGTTAATAGATCCTAAGTTTAAGGTGCTTGTTGCTACTGAGAAAAATAATTTAAAATACTATGTGCTACTAAAAAAATATTTTAAGGTGTTAAGTATACCAAAAATTATTTTAGAACATTGGGAGGCTATTAGAAAAATATTTTTAAGTGTTGAGTGTACAAAAATTATTTTAAAATACCGGTTGGTTCTCAAAGGTGGTGAGTGTGCCCATGTTACAGGTTCGGAGTATTTTCAAACTAAGCTTGTTGGTTATAATGCTAATTATATTGTTTATATATATAGATAAGGAAATTTAAAAAAAAAACACTTAAATAACTCAAATTCTTATTTAGATTATTAAATTTGTCAAATTTTTAATTAGGTCTCATGACCCAAAAAAGAATTTTAAAATTTTATGAAATGATTCTAATGCTTATTTCGTTAGAAACCTAGATGGATAAAAATTTTATATCATTCCCGCGTTGTGTAAAATCTATAAACAAGGAAACTTGGTGTTTATTATTACATAGTCAGAAAATCAATCACGTAGCTAATGATGAGTTAGTTTTTATATTAAATCTTTCTCTTTTAATCTTGATAGTTTTATCCAGACAGAAAGTTATTAATTTAAAATTAAAACATGTTAACTACAAAATGAAATATATTAATTTTCAAGGTTATATTGTAATAAAGTTTATTTAATGGCTTATTACAACCATGCTATGGAAACAAAAAGTTGCTTACTAAAACTTGAAACATATTTAAATGTGAAATAGAATATGTTAATTTTTAAGTTGCATTGTAGTTTGAGTTTTATTCAAAGATTTATTGCAAGAATATTATAGAGACAAAAATTTGTAAAACTTGGAATTAAAACGTGTAAATTATGAAATGAAATATGTTAATTGTCAAAGTTGCGTTATGATCAAATTTTATTCAAAAACTTACTGCAACTATGTTTTAGAGACATAAAACTATAAGTTTATAACTAAAGTTTATTAACTACATAAGTGAACTTATTTATCTTCAAGGTTATATTGTAATTAAATTTTATTCAAAGATTTACGCAATTGTGTTTTGGAGAAAAAATTGAAATGTGTTTTTATTTTCACAAAGAACATTTTTATTGCGGTTACAGAAGCTTGGTGATGTGGCTTTTTGTGAGCTCTTAGATGAATTGGACGGATAGGATTTAAAGATTCTGAGGGACCCTGCGAAAATGGCCGCTGAGCGGATCCGGATCCGTTATTTTGGGCTTCTCCATCACTTGACCCAATTTTCCAAAACTATCCTCATTCCTCTTTTGTATGTTGCACCATTTTCTCTGTTTTTTTTTTTGTCTTTTTTTTTTTTAATCTCTTTCGATTTTTGACACCCGATCTGAGTACTAATCTGGCTTAGGGGGACGTTTTCCTAAGTTAGGGATCCTAGCTTCGGCTCAGAAAACATTTCATAATTTAATGACACTTTTAGACAATAACATTTAAACAGTACATTGACGTTTTTTCTTGTCTCTCAGCAAGGTCACATGCTTCTTCCTCCTTAGCGTTGAAACAATACAATACCAAATACGACTATACTACTTGATACTTTTTATTTTTTACTTGTATCTTTTTTTTCAATATTTTATTTTTAATTCTGCTCTTATTAACTATAGTAAAAGTAAAAAAGAGTGAAAATTGGTGAGAAAAAATATATTAGTATTTAATGCTTTTCTTAATAGGAGTAAAAGTAAAAACTTTACTTCTCTGGTTCTATTTATAGGTCACTTCCAACATATTTCACATAAATCAAGAAAACCCTTAAATTTTATTAACTCTCATTTAAAATTTAATAATTTTTTAACTTAATCCCTATTTAATATATATTATAACTTATGTAAACAAGGTCAATACAGTAATAAATAAAGGGCAAATTGTATATCTATATAAAAAATTTCTCCCAGTACCCTATAAATAGGATTAAAAAATGTTTTTCCTTTCTGTCTTATAAATAGAGCCAGAGGAGTATCTATTTAATACTCTCATTGATATATGTGAAACTCTTACATAGAATAAATAATAAAGATCAAACTGGTGCTTATTGCTAACCAAAAGTAATTTCACGCCCTCATGAGGGCACAGGTTTCTTCCTCCTAACAAGCAAAAGTTCTCAAATTTTTTAAGATAAAAGCTCTTCTCCCTTTCTCCCTTTCTCCCTCTCTCTCTCTCTCTCTCTTTGTGTGTGTATATAATGCAAAGCTCTAAAAAATTGAAAAAAAGATATGCCATTTTTATCTTTAACTTTAGCATGATTTAAAATAAATCATAATTGTACTTTCTTTCTCTACGATAGACTTAGGATCTTCAATTAGTGGGTAGTTTTTTACAATTAATTATTTCACAATAAAATGTGTTAGATTATGAGATGAAGGCAAATCAAAAGAAATCACCGTTTTACTCCAAAAAAAAAAATCACCATTAAGTGTTTTTTTTTTTTTTTGGTAAGAACCATTAAGTGGTTTTTGGAAGGCGGGGTTCTCCTTCTTTTCCGTTCCAGCGCGGGCCCAAGCGAATGAACAGTATACATTGGACATTTGGCACGTAGGACGCTAGTGGGTTTAGTTTTGAATAATAATTATTTTTTTGTTAAAATATAAGTATCTTTTTATTGGAGATAATCCTATTCAAAATATTATTGGGCACTAAATGCTAGCACTTCTCCCAATAGGAATTCTGACCTTAATTTGTCATGGTGTAAAGAACTAGCATCTTCCACTAGACTCAACCTCTGTTGGTAGTTTTAAATAATTATTACGGTGATGAGAATCATTGTGATTAAGAAAGTGTTTGGATGAAAACCAAACTATAGTTTCAAAAGTAATTTACAGTATACGAAGTAAATATATAGATGAGTTTATCTTGATTTATGAAAAAATACTTTTAAAAAACATTTCTCCTAATTCCCAAACACCCCCTAAAATTCAATCAAGACCCTAGGATTGGATGTGATCTGAAATGATGTTATGTCCGAGTTTTCTGTTTATTTCTGGGTTTTCCTTACTTGCTTTGTAATAAGGTATTGAAAACCGGACTTTGAATTTACTAAGGCAATGGGATCAAAGATTTGTGAGTTAGACTGAAATTAACCCGTGAATCAAATTGATGAGAAATAAAAAATAAAAATTAATTTAAATTTTCATCATACCATTCAAAATACTAAATATTAATTTAATACTCCTCCGGTCCTTAATATAGGACCTAATTCTTGAATTGGTTTTGGTCCTAAATATAAGAACCATTTCTTATAGTTATCAATTTTCTCTAAATTATCCTTATGAATACTCCCTCAACCATAATCAAATAGAAGAGGAAGAGGGAGTATTAAGAAAGATGATTATAGTGTTTTAGGAAAAATGTATCAATTTTCTTATAATTAACTAACTTACCTAACTTCCTTAATCTAATCAAATGAGTTAAATGGGTCTTATATTAAGGACCGGAGGAGTATTACTTTCTGTCTTTAACATAAAAGGTAGTTTGACTTTTAATTTAGTTCTAAATATAATTCTCCAATCTATTGTATCTTTCATATTTATCTATTTCTTTTAAAATCGTCCTTGTAGTAGTTGCACATGTTAAATGTTTTATCAAATGATAGTTTTAGTTAATACACATGATTAGTAATAATATTTTAGGAAGATAACACATATTTATTACAAATAACTCATTTAACTAATTTTTTAATCTTCTCGAATTAGTCAACTAATTTTTATATTAATAACTAAAAGTAGCGCATTGAATTCCTAACAAAATAGTTATATACTTATATTTTCTTTCCAATTTTCCCACAATTCCTTTAACAAATTGAAATCATAGTATCGTGCTATTAAAGTCACTGAATATTCATTATAGTAAGATATAAAAATAAATTTATGGTAGCAAAATATTGCTATCTACAATTTTTTAGTCACCAAACTAATAATTCTTTACCACTAAAACAACTTTTCTAAAAAAATCACAACTGAGTTAACTCAAAATCAGTCGAGCTGACCCACCGCCGGGTTTTTCTACCAACCGGACCGGGCCAATTAATTTTTTGTCCAACCCGACTGGTCCGATGGAGTCCGATTCTAACAAATGCCATACTCTGCAATCAGGGGAAAAAAGTGACAAGGGGTAAAATAAAGCAAGAATACGGCAATGACTTCTTTCAAAGTCATTAATATGTCCTTTCATGCTTTATGAAGCCTGAAATAATCTTCTCTTTTCAGAATAGTGACTTATACTAAATCCTCTCTCTCTCTCTCTCGTCGCGCTTTCCGCTCCACTTTAATTAACATCAATCTCAACATTCGGTGAAATTGTCTTCCACTCTCAATTTCTTAATCTGATTACAAAATAGGGGCCCCCCATTATTTCCTTGGCTAAGAATTAATGAATTAATTACGAACGGCCTCTTGTACTCAACCCAGCCGCAACTAAAACGATCCGACCTGGCACCCGATACTCATACCAACCGACCACAAAAATAGGATGAACATTAGAATTTTTGGACATCCCCGTCAAAGCCACTCGCCAGCCATGCCCTTCCTCTTTCTCTGTCCCTCTCTTCCCTTCCCACTGGATTTATAACTGGAGGGAGGTTCATCATTCTCTTCACTATCAGTCTCAACATCTCTCTCTCTCTCTCTCTCACACCCGCAGCCCATGGCTGATCCAGTGAGGTTAGTACACTTTCTCTCTCTCAATTTCATACTCTGCTTTCTCATCCTTCATGTATACTCCTCGGGTATTATTTACAGGGTAGAAATAAGATTTTTTTTTATCGTATTTATAGAGTACGGAAAGAAATTTTTTATATAGATGTATAATTTTACTCTTTATTTATTATTATATTGACTTCGTTTATATGAGGTATAATGTATATTAAATAAAAATAAAATTAAAAAATTGTTAAATTTTAAATAAAAATTAATGAAGCATATAAAACGTATCTAAAGTAACTTATAAATAAAAATAAAAAAAACAAAAAAAACAACGGACAGATCAAAACGATGACGTATGAACTGAAAATACATATATTAAACTGAAATGAAGATCGCAATATGGCATTTAAGGGAAAATTTTCTCATTGCCTGGAAAACCTAATCCTTCTAATCCCAAAGAGACAAAATCTCATTTCGGACCCCATAAAATGATATGAAACCAATTTCTATGCTCCACACAGTACAATGATGGGTACCATGGGTACTATGATGCAGAGACCATCTCAATGTCGCTGGCCTATGCTTGTTTACTGTTTAGCAGTAATGAAAAAGAAATATTTGGCCTTTGCAGTCACATTCTACAAGAGGAGACAACATGCAAATCTAATTTTCTTATTTTTATTTTTTAAGATAATTATTTTAACAAATATAGTATAAAAATAAAAGTAATTTCTCAATTATTATTTTTCAAAAATATTTTTATTTAAAAATAATTAATTATAAATATTAAATCTGGATTGTTCAGATTAAATTAGGATAGTAAATGACAAGTGCTGGGCGTCAAAACTAGTCCCCACCTGATTTACAGGATGGATCACTCAAATATTTGGTCAATGACTTGGAAATTGAATGTTGATCCTCACGTAAACTGCTGGAAAATTTCACATGGAATCCTTCCCACATCTTTCTTCCTCAAGCACCGGTTTCTTTTGCCACAAGGAAACTGAAACTAATAGTCTGGAGCAAAAATACTACAAAATCAAACTTTCGAGATATATAAGAACTAAAACAACTCCAAATACGAAGTGCTCATTCATAAATACTCCAGGATATTTAAAGATTTTATCACTTACTCCACTAATCCTATTAATAAAGCACTTTCAGTATATTTTACATAAACCAAGAAAAACCTTAAAATGCATTGACTCTTGATTAAAATATAATAATTTTTCTAATTTTATTCATATTTAATATATACACATTTCAAAAGAGATAACTACTTATATTATAATAAACAAAGGACAAAATAGTATATTCATGTTAAAAATTTAATAAAATGACTTATAAATAGAACTAAAATTTTTTTTTCCTGCTTTCTAAATAGGACATCAGGAGTAAGATTTTGTTGTAAGGGATTGTACCAGGTAGTGCTTCTCTTAAAACAACAGGTGTCCTGCTCGAGCTTCTTTTAAAATAACACGTTCCTGCTCGAATTCCGACTTTCCAAAATGGTTTATAACATAAGAGTAATTTTATAAAGCAATTAATTTACAATAATAATTTTTTTAATTTTAATTTCGTTTTCTGTTCGTTATTTTATTGCAAAATGGCTTTAATCATTTTTTATTGAGAAACCCGGTTCACACGATAACCGTAAAATAAAACTATCAACAAAAATTGGCTCTGTTTTCTGAAAACAGAGCCAAACAGAGTATTGTCTTTTAATTAGCAAAAGTGTTTATCCCTCCCCATCCAATTACACCAATCCCGATGGGAGCCGCAGGCGAAGGCGGAGGATGATCCTTCAGAACACCGCAGCCATATTCAGAGGTTGCCGCCACCGTAGACGGAGGAAAGTTGGTTTTGGCCTTTGGGTTGCGAAGGGAACAGGCAGCACCGTCGTAGGCCAGCCCCGCCGCCACCGTAGCTACGGACGTGCCTAACCAAACGCGTGTTTTCTTCCATGGGTCGCGAATCTTGACGGAATATCAACCCCACGGCTGCTTTCTCATCCCTCTGTAGTGAACTCACGCGACACGGAAGAGGAAGGTGCAGACGAAGAAGCCATGAAATGAAACGAAGATTTTTCAGTGTATCTCTCTCACACTCACGAGAAAAGCCGTCCTTTTGTACGCCCAAGAAATTTACCGGGTCAAAACAATGATGTATGAGGTTATGAACAATGATGTATGGGGTAATGAACTGAAACTACATATCTGAATGATAATTAGCATTTTATTTAGCTAGTTCGCTTAAATATATTAAAAAAATTAATTGAGAATTTTACTTATAATAAATAAATATTGTTTTTTTTAAAATACTTTTACTAATATGTATTATTTAGAAATACTATTTGATGAAACATTTAACATGTGTAAATAATAAAGAAGTAAAATCAAATCATAAACTTATAAGAGTTTACTGTTATTAATAAGTTGGTACTAATTGTAT